GTCAGATAAAATTATATATATTAAGCAAATAAATTAAAAAGATGAATAGTTTTAAATGTCGCATCCTTATGTAAAGCATATGTTCGTCCGGTAGCAGTTGGAGGACTGACCACATCTAAAATTTGAGATTTATCTATCCACAAATTGTCAATCAAGAAGGTATATGTATAAGAATTTGAGAGTCCTTGAGGATGCAAAAAACTTACCCTATTTTTCAATTTTTTTTCTAAAAAAAGGCCATCCAATATTGATTGTCATAGATACCTGTTATATATCCATTTATTTTTTCATATAGTAAATTCGCATTAATATTCGAGTGAAATGTTATTTTTTGCGATTCTGTTGATTTTGAATAAAATTTACCTTCAATTTTATCCTAAGAATTGAAAAATATAAAATTTTGCGTTCCTAGTATTGTACACGCTTTATTAAATTTCTCTTTTTAAATTATTTGCTCTTTTAAAAAATTAGAACATATATTAATAAATTAGAAATCTTATATACCTTTCATATTTTCCCTAGAATAGACAAAAAACTCTTTAGGACAAATTATTTGTTCTGAAGCAGGTCTTGCAAACTAGCCCAGACACTAATCGTTTGACTGTATCTCCGATCCCGTCACATGCCATGAGATGTGGTCCAGAAATGACACTCAGCTTTTATTCAGATCATTTTCATGGTGGCAAAGATTAATTAAATTTTTGCGATTCTTATATTGTGATGCTGCTCCATCTGAAAAGTAGAAGAATTTTTTTGGTCGGCATTAAAATTTCTGTCAAGCATCGTACTAAATATTTTTAGAATAAATAAACGGCAATTGTATTATGAATGAGAGATTTAGATATTATTATGACCAGCAAAATCTGCCTGAAGGATATATTATCCTTCATTTAAATTAATTTTGATATATTGCTTGCTGTTGTTATAGATTGAATAGGATGAAGTGACAGATACAAGATTTGTAAGATCTGTAGTTACCAATTTTGTAGGCAATATATTCGACATCACTTGAATATAATATTTCAATTATCATGACCTTTAATGGCATTGAGCACAATCACAAAAAAAAGGCATTTGGTGATTCTGGATTACAAATTATTTTTGGCAATATATTCTTATATGTAATCTTTGGCAAAAAACTCATCCGCATTAATTTTCCATTTTTAATATAGAATAAAATTTTAATTGATCTGCACCTAGAATAAATGGTTTTCCATTAAAAAAAGAATGTTATTGGTAGACGGACGAGTTAAAATAATAAGCATGCAGAAGGGTTGTAATTTTTAAAATTAACCTGAACGGGCAAGTTAAGAATATTATACAGAGAGAGATCGCTCGATATGAAATGTTTATTTTGTAAAATAATATGCCTAATAAAATATTCCTTTTTAATGCAGTTTTATACAATTTTATCGAACTAATAAATCATTTGTTATGGTAGCAAAGTAGAGATCTAAAAAAATGCAAAATTTTTTGTGGATGGTGGGGAGGGGGGGGGCAGAACTGGAAAATATCATATTTCTTATAAACGTATCAATATTTTCATTTTCCTAAAGAATAATATTTCTCCAATCATAATCCGATTTCGTATAGCTCCATCTATTTTTTTCAATTTTTGGTAAATATATTTCGGAAGAGTGACATCGTATATATTTATAAAAGGCATCTATATAAAAGGGGAAAAAAATTCGAAAACAAATTACCTTTATTGCTTAAAAACACAGGTAAAGCAATATAGGAACCGAAAGTTAAAGACCCAAATTGGCGCAAATTTTTTTATTATTGATAAACCTTTATAGTGCGCACAAATTGAACGTTTCAAAGCAGTGTTTCATAAATTTAATAATATAATTTATATTGTTAAACAAATTAGATAGTTTTAAAAATAATTTATTCTTTATAATTTTTAAGTAAAACAAAAATCGTTTAAGATAAGATAAACAGCAAGCTTTTATTTTCTTCTGTCGGTTGTGTCTGAAAAAAATCTCAGAGTTTTACTCTGATGTCTATCAGGATCGTATAAGTTACTTTGTGATGTCGAATTTTGGTATAAAAATCTTGACAGAATAGAGTACTCTATGCTTTGCAGGCCTTTTCCATATCTAATTGCATTTTACATTTCCTGCCTAATATCTAAACATTGTTTTTTTATTTTAGCTACTTTACGGATTTGTACTTGCACTAATCCAAGGTCATTTTCAACTTCGAAAAGGTTAAAAGCTTATTTAAGAAATGGCACTGGTGAAAACCGTCTAAATGGATTAGCCCTATTGAATATTTATAAGATTATTCTAGATAAAAATTTAATTCTAGATAATTAGCTAAATTTCAGAGAAAAGTAGATCTCTCTTTAAATTCAAATCATAAAATTGCAATATGATTATAATATGTTCTTAGTCATAAAATTTTTATATGCAAAACTTATTATAATGAATTCTTAGTTATAATGAATTCTTAGTTATAAAATATTTATATGCAAAACTTAATTACAATAAATTCTTAGTCATAATATTTATATATTTTTTATATTATACTATATTTAATAAAATGCATTTGCAATAAGAGTTATTTATATATTGATAATATAATTATTTGTATTAATTTTAATTGCTAAATTCTATTTTTTTAAGATTTACTTATATTTTGTTGTAATTATATTTATTTATTAAAATTAATTTGTTTACAATAAATTTTAAATATAAAAATCTGTATAAAATTTATACATTTTAAAATTATTTTTGCATATTATCATTAAAATAAATACATAGTTAAATAAAGGGGTGTTATTTATACTAAAGTATTTTAATAATAAACAAAATATCTAATAAAATTTTCTTATATGCAAAAATTTAATTAAAATAATATTTTAACATAGAATAGCAAATATTAAGTGATCAAAAATAATAGAAGGTTTAAGGGAGGGAGATGGCGATTTTTTTTTCTACACTGAATAGATTTAATTAAATTACAATTGAGCACTAAACATTGACAAAATTTTCAGAATAATGCTTTCAATTGAGTATTAATCATAAATTTGGCCAAAATTTTGTTATTAATATTTTTTTATTTATGATGACTGACTAAGTGGTTAGACACTAATAAAGCACAAAAATTGGTAAATTTTAGAATTATATTTCTACTTCAACAAAGATGATGTAAAGATTACTACTGAAAAATTAATATTATATGATATTTTTTAGGGATCTGGCCGATGGCCAAAGGAAAGGGAGTTTGGGGGTGAAATCCCAAAAAAAAATTTTAAACCCCTCTATGGATAAATCCTGGCTATGCCATTGCCAATCAAATGCATTCGTTTATAGGAAACATTTTGCATTGGCTTTTAAATTTTGAAGTGATAGGATGGGTAGAACATCTTCTAAAAAGTAAAATAATTATATTAAATCATACAATAATATTGTTAGCTTATGGAATTATGATATTACAAAAAGATTTTCTAATTAAATATAGGGCAAGCCTTTTTTTGTTTAGAATTTAAACGTTTCATATTAAAAAAATAAAAGTTAACACTTCAATTTAAACATAGCTATATTTAAGTTTTTTTATTTGCGTTTTGAAACGCTGCATTGAAAAGTTCAATTTGTGTATACTATTAGGTCATTTCCACACAACGTTTTTTCAAAGCAGTTTTGGGGTAATGTATGCAGCATTTTTTTTTAATTTCCAAACAAAGGATACTAACTTGTTTAATTAATTTTTTCTATATAAAAAAAACAATCCAGATCCCTACTTTTTTATCATAAATATAAAAAAACTGGTATGATTTTAATAATGATTAAATGGCTTGAAATGTAGCTCTGGGTTGTTATTTTTCAATATCATATTATATAAAAAAAATTAATTCGACAAGTTAGCTTTTTTTTTGGAAAGCTGGTAGCATTACCCAAAAACCGCTTTGAAAAAATGTTATCTGGAAATGGCCTTAATTTTTTTTACCTACAATATTATATATTATATATTTTTTTAATATAAATAGTTTGGCTCTATTTTGCACCTATGAGCCTAATATTTCAGGAATCAGGTGTGCTAGTAAGCTGTAATAGATGGCATCCTCATTTTATTTACAAATAATTCCAGAAATTTTTAACAATATTAAAAGGGGTCAGTTAAAAATATGTCTTTTTATATCAATTTGTTATAAAATGGCCTATATTAATTTAAGTATCACAAAAAAATTACAATACATGCACAATAATAAAAATTTAAAATTACATATTTATTTAAGAAATTGTATAAATTAATGATCCAAAAATTTCTTGTTATGTGAATTGTAGGGCAGTAACCTCAAAATAATTATTTTAAATCTTCACCTAAAGATTAAATTCATCATATATTACAAAATTGAATGTTTAAATGAAAATGTATTTAAAAGATTGTCTATTGTGAATATTTTTTTGAAACATTATCATATATATATAACAATTATGAAATGGATAGATTTACAAATATCTTCCAAAAAATTTGTATATAGTGAAAATATATACTTAACTAACATATTTTATTAAAATAACAGAAACTTTATTATCACCTTTCATTAAAATATAAATACATTTCTAATTGATCTGACATTTTTTAACAAGAGATGTGCTAGTATATAATATTTAACTTAATATAATATCAATCCACAATATTCTATTTTTTATAAATAATGATCAGATAAATTTTTTCATGTAAAATACACTTATTTAGCAAGATACAAAATTTATTTGATCTGTTTTGTAATGACCTGCACAACTCAGCCCAGCTGAGGTCAGACAATAGCAGGCTAAAAGAAGATTAAAAAAATCACAAAGCAATTAAGAATTTTTGATATTGTAGAGAAGCTTACATGTAGAGTGGAAATTTTTATTTAATGATTAATTAAGAGTCTTATATTTTTATATTGATAAATTATTAGTAAATAATTTTAAATATATATCAGTAAATAATTTTAAATATACATCAGTAATTTCAAATATACAACAGTATATAATTTTAAATACCCAATAAGCCAATCCATATGAAAGAATAAAATTAAGATTAATTTGTAGCCATTATTTAACAGCAATAAATGGTGTCATATAAAGTTATTTTATTTTTTTATTCAACACGCTTGTTTTACAAACAAATATTAAAAAAAGTTGTTTATTATTTTTTTTTAATAAATTTTTTTTTACGTATTTTTTTTAATAAATTTTTTTACGTATTTTTTTTAATAAATTTTTTTACGTATTTTTTTTATCTAATGGAAAAAATGGTAATTTTAAAATTGATGCTTATTTAATATATTTTTATTTAATAGGAATTAAGATATAATTTAGAACTAAAAGATTTTTCTACTTTAAAACAGGTTGTGAGTAATTATGAGAAGAATAATCATCAGCTCATTATTCTTCTCAAAAAGGATTAATTTCAGATAAAAATTCATTAGTTTTACAAGAATGGGATAAGAATATAATGAAAAATATGAAAATGCCCATAAAATACAAACGAGGATCAATTCACAAAAGGCCTAAAAAAATGCAAAAAAAGAGTATTATTTAAAAATTATAAAATATTTCACGGTTAGCAATTTTTGAAAATGATATTATAATATACATGTATTTTAAAAAAGATTTTTCCCAAGCTAATCAAAATATGACTGAAACGATTAACCTACCACATTCCAATACAGAAAACACTCAACTATATGGTATCACTAAAAATTAAATGTTTATTGTTTATTAAAATACATTAGCAGTCAAATTATTTCAAAAAATATGTTAGGCACTTAAGTTAAGATACCAGAGAGTAAACATTTTACTTAACAAAAAAATAGCAACAAACTTATATTTTTACCAATATCATTTTCAAAATATACCAAAAAATTTAAGCCCTCAGTCAAAAACTATTCCAGCTAGTATATTTTGTGTTTTAATTTTTATTAAATATTAAATAAAAATAGCATTCAAATTCTCTTTATCTCAAAATATTTCAAAAAATATATTAGGCACTCAAATTAAGCTACCAAATAGTAAACATTTTTCCTTTATTTTATATAATAAAAATTATAGCAACCAAAACTTTAGACTACACTTCTCTTCAAAATCTTTCAAAATTTTTTTAGGAAACCATAAATAAAACAAATAATTATATATTTAGAATGTTTATATTAAATTTAAAAATATATAGGAACCAAATACAATCTAATAGAGCTTCCAGAAAACAATACAATCAAGATTTCAAAAACCTAATAAAAAGCAATTTATATACATAATTATAATTATATATATATAGAATTATAATATATTATTGTATTCTTACAAATTTTATTTCTACATATATTTTCAATATATTTCTAAAATATAGAATAAAAAATATAAAATAGATTCTTGTGTTATAAATAACAAACATTCAATATTTTCGACAAAAAAAACAATTAAAATAATTCTTTATGTTAAATTATATTGTTTAAGATATATTCATAGGAGGATTCATAGAATAGTTTTTTGCAATGCCTGATCACCATTAAAAATATTATAAGAATTACACAATATAATAAATATTAAAATAAAGTAAATTTTTAGGTTTAAATGATTTAAACAAAGTATAAAACAGATTGTGAAAATCCTATAAATAGAAATATTAGGAGTAACATAATTAGCAAAGTTATAATATTAAGAATTATTTGAAACAATTTATTGAAGAGATCAAAATTTGAAGCCTTTCCTAAATTTTCAATGACATAAGAATAAGCTGTAGACATTGATGTTCATGTTTTTCACAAGTCCCTTGCAATTTATTTTAGTATCTTTCAGCCAATTTATTTTTATGTTATGTAAAAAAATAATAGCATATTTGGGATTTGACTAAGAAATCTGTCACCATGTCTTAATAAGCTAACAAAAATATTTTACTTTTATATATAAAATATCAAACTGAATAAATATTATTTAGTAAATTTTGATATTACATTCACCTTACGATTAAAATAAAAAATTGTATTTATAAATCTTAGAACATTAAGCTTAGGCCATGCATCTATATAAATATGAAAAGCATAACAAGTCTGGTGTACCAGGATATATAGGTTGTTTTACTTTATTAACATTATATGACAAAATTGCATGAAGGTTAATTTATATAATGAAATATTACATTTTTAATTGTATCAAAAGATTATAATAAAAACCTAATTCATGATTAAATAAGACATTCAATTAATCCCATTAATTGACCCTATTGTTTGGGAATATTGTTATATTCCTCAACATCTATAAAAAATTTTAACAATTGGAATATAAATGTTTTAAATATAATAATTTGATAAGGTATTCTTCTCATAATTACTTACAAACTCTTTTAAAGTAGAAAAATCTTTTAGTTCTAAATTATATCTTAATTTCTATTAAATAAAAATATATTAAATAAGCATCAATTTTAAAATTACTATTTTTTCCATTGGATAAAAAAAATACGTAAAAAAATTTATTAAAATACGTAAAAAAAAATTTATTAAAAAAAATAATAAACAACTTTTTTTTAATATTTGTTTGTTAAAGGAAAAAAAACAAGCGTGTTGAATAAAAAAATAAAATAACTTTATATGACACCATTTATTGCTGTTAAATAAAGGGGTTCATATTTTTAAGGTTCGGGCCTAAATATTCTCACAGCGGTTAATACAAACAAGACATTTTTAATTTATTAAATTTTATTTATATTATAATTTATGCAATATATATCTATGAATATTTAATTATATATAAAATATTTAAATATATATAAAGTGATATTTAAATATAGAAATAAAGTAATATTAAATTTTATATAAATAATATTTAAATAATATATAAATATGTAATAATATTTATATGTAATATTAATTATATTTAAAATATTTAAATATATAAAAAATTATATTTAATTAAATAAAATATAGGAAGAATATATTTAAATATATAATCATCTATAAAATAATTTATAATATTAAATTAATTCATAGGCGTAGCCAGGGGGGAGGACAAGGGGAAATTCCCCCCCCCCTTCAGAAATATGTCACTTTTTGTAAATATCATTTTAAACTATTAAAAAATGTCTTCCTTAGTTCTCTCTTTACCCCCTGTCCCCCAAAAATGTTTGCACATATCTTAAACAATAATTTGAAAGAAAGAATGTGAAAGTTATAATAATGTTTTATACTAAAACTGTTAACTATAATTCATATTTTTTAAAAAGAGGTTTATATATAAAAAAAGGTGAAACCAAACAAATTTTTTAAGAAATGAAATATAAGCCAATGATAAGTCTAGACAAAAGTGAAATTATATAATTACTATTTATAGATCCATAAAATTCCTTAATAATATAATATCTTAAATATAATTTTTTATAAAATGAATTAATTTAATTTATTCTTCTTAATAAAATAATTTAATTATAAAATTATTAATTAAATTTAATTATAAAATTATTAATAAATTAAATTATAAATTAAATTAAAAAAATTAATAATTTACAACTTTTTAACGGATATCATTTACGTTATATTTTAATAGTCAATTTCAATATCATCTATATAGATAGAAAGTGTAAAGGTAAACAATTTTTTTTAAATCTATTTAAGTGTAAAGTAAATATATTACAAATCGGCAAATATAAATACATTTACAATTAATGGGTATAAATTTTAACTATATATATATATGAAATCAAATAGCATTTATATTTGTTATTTTTTAAATGAACAATTTTTTGTGAATTTGAAATGCTTATATGGACATTTTACAGATATCTATCAGAAAATATAAATAATTTACCATAATTATTGTTCTTGTTCTAATTCTACTAGTTTATGATTTTATCTATATGTTTTAATGTTGTTAAAATTCTAAAAGATTGTTATAAATATATAATGTTATATATTAGAAAATATAAATAATTTACCATAATTATTGTTCTTGTTCTAATTCTACTAATAGTTTATAATTTTATCCATATGTTCTAATGTATTAAAATTCTAAAAGATTGTTATAAATATATAATGATATCTATTAGAAAATTTAAATAATTTACCATAAATATAGTTCTTGTTCTAATTCTACTACTTTATAATTTTATCCATATGTTCTAATGTTGTTAAAATTCTAAAAGAATGTTATAAATATGATAAATTTTATAAAAAGAAAATTGCCATTTGACGCTAAATAGTTTGATGACAAAACAAAGATTAATGAATCTGACCGATACCATTTTTAAACCATAAAGGCCAGGTCCCTCTAGTTAGTATTTTTTTATGAAATAGGTGTTTTGTTGTATTGATAAATTTCCCATAAATGGCCACTATATTCCCAAAAAATAGCCAAGATTCCCCAAAAATACCCAAGATAATCAAAGATTGGATAACATATTATTAGTTAATTATAGTAACTATGAAGATTAAAGAGGTTAGAGAGAAATTCACAACAAATATCAAAGCTTATAAAATTAGAAATTAAAGTATATATTATTTAATTTACATATAATAATTTATATTTTTAAGAAAAATAAAGATTGTATATTTTATGGAGGATATGATTATGTGTTGCATCAATCTGGAAAGAAAGCAATATATTACACCTGTAGAAGAAAATGTGGAGGAAGAGCTAAATTTATTGTTACTGAATTTAGCATCACCATAAATCATTTCGAAACTTGCAAACCAATCCAAAGTAATTAATATATATAATCTTAAATACACAAATTTTAGGTAAAAATATTATATCACATATTATAAATTCAAATCCAATTTATATAGATGATTCTCAAAGTCTAGCAGGTTATTCTCGAGGTCAATCTGTGGACCTCCCTGTTCAAAGTAAATAATTTTGATTTATATTAATCTTAAATACTCAAATTTTAGGCAAAAATATTATATCACATATTATAAAATCAAATCCAATTTAAATAGATGATTCTCAAAGTCTAGCAAGTTATTCTCAAGGTCAATTTGTGAACCTCCCTGTTCAAGGTAAATAATTTTGATATATTTAATCTTAAATACTCAAATTTTTATTTCTTTATACAGACTCCGATTGCCCTAAGAAAAGATATATATCGATATCAACACAGTGATTTATAGCTAAATATAAAATATAAATATATTTTAGCCGACAAAGCTCAATTAATGGACCTCTACACAGACAAATATCTCATTTTTTTTCATCCAGTTTAAAAAATTATATCCTTAATTGTATTTATATTATAGTATCAAATGTATGTACTACAGAATGCCATAAGTAAAATATCAAATTAATATTTACAATAATTTTTCAAAGCTATTAATCTACAAGTTTTGGACAACACAAATAGTCCAATTTTGGATAACACAAATAGTCCAATTTTGGATAACACAAATAGTCCAGGTAAATTTCAATTATATTGGTACTATCTATTTTTTAACAAAGTTATGAACCTTGGATGAAATAGATGCCCATAACAGAAATACCATTAGTCCAAGTAAATAATATCTTTTAGATATTTATATCATTTTTATACAGAGCAATTATTCCAGAGTTGTACAAAAGATCTTCTTTGAAGATTTTTGAGCGAGATCTAGCTCAAAAATTTGAGCAAGATCTTTGAAGATCGTAAAATTTGAAGATCTTTTATTTTTTAAAAATTTTGTGTAGGTAACGATCTTCAAAGATCTTCATGATATTTATTTTTTTACCCCTTTATTAAAAGCCCAGATATTTTTCAATTTTCATCAAGGCAGGAGGAGAGGTATAAAACATATAAGAAATATTATATTAATAAAATTGAAAAACATCTGGGCTTTTAATAAAGGGGTAAAAAAATAAATATCATGAAGATCTTTGAAGATCGTTACATAAAATTTTAAAAAAATAAAAGATCTTCAAATTCTTCAGATCTTTGAAGATCTTTTTATTTTGAGCAAATGTAGAACTCTGAATTATTCAAAACAATTCTAACAATCAAATGGTTCAATATAGTTTGATTAAATCAAAATATAACAAAAATATTATCTATTCTAACAAATATTTATACTTTCTGATTATGGCGACTTATATTACAAAAAAAACATGTAAGGGGAGAGGTAAATTTAGGGCACATTTTACTATGATCCAAACACATAATCATGGTGATTACGAAGAACACTCTCATCTTCTAGTCACAATTAATAAATTCAAAGATCAGATTAACAAAATTTACCAGAAAGTAATGCACATTCGTAAATTGGATGTATTTTGTTTAA